CGAGTGTAAACACACACGCACACACGCTGAGATGTCTGGCTGCCTTTGGTTTTTGGCATTGGTGCCAAGAAATTTTGCGGAGGGGCAAGGCCAACTAATTGCGGCGACATAACTTGTTGCGCCCCTTGGAGCCACGCCCCCGCGCTCTACGCCCACCACATGGATGTATGCGTGTGTGTGTGATTTCGTGGCCGCGTGTGTGGGTTGTGTGTGTAATGAATGCCGCAGATAGACGGACGTACGGTCTCACAGCGGCTGTCGTCTGTCTAAGAACTATTGCCAACAACAGCAGAGAATTGCATTAGCTGTCGTGAATGTGTGGGTTAGTAGTTCGCTGTGAGGGTAAGGGGCGTCAGGGCAGGGGGCGGGGCCCGAGGTCACATCGCTTGTCGGTTGTTTACAATAAAGACAGTCAAATGTCTCCTGCTTGGCAAGCAGCCTGACAAGCATTTTTGTTTGATTTACCCTGCTAATGAAATTTACCATATAGATATACCTATAGTAAAATTATTAATTGGCAACTGAGTACGAACTTGAAACATAACCTGGCAAACTAAAAAGGAAGTATTAATATATATCATTTGCTTACCAATTAAAAAGTTAAATTTGTGAATAAAAAACTAATTAAGAGATTTCTCAAATTTCCAAGAGCTCCAGCACACAAAATCCCAACAATTGTGCCAATTAATAGTATGCAATCAATACCTTTTTTTAAAATTATGAAAGAAATCATTTTTTTAACAACATAAGTAACTTTATAAAAGAAAAATCCTTTACTGAAATCTATTAAGAGGTAACAAACAAAAATTGTTTATAACCTGGAAAACAATTTCTGGCAAGTAAAATTCATAAAATAAACTTTCCAGGTGATACTAAGGGCAACGCAATCAGTATATTAAGAAATGAAAACCGTTAAACTTCTCCAGCTAATAACAAGAGAATAATTTAGAAATTTCATGATCCAGGCTTAGTCGATTTTATTCATGTGAACTTTGATCAAAGTATAGCCCGTTCGAGTTTTTGAAATGGGTCGTTCATATCCTTTCACTTTGACACTTTTCGCTAAGGGTTTCTATTAAATTGTAATATCGGTATAAACAGTTTCTGCAGCCTGCAGCATCCTTACAAAGTTATTTGAAACCTCTTGATGGGCAATAACCGACGGCATATGGCCAACCGCAAAATGGGAACCGAGCCGAGTTGAACCGGAAGGGGCGCTGGGAAAGGGGGAAAAGGGCTATTGGACCAACTCCGATTCCGGTGCTAGTGGCTGCGATGTCTGAGCCAAGAGCTTAATAAAATTATGTGACTATAATTGCCGGCGGAGAGTGGAACCAGGAGTCAAAATCCACCGCCAACCCATGTCCCTCGCCGAAAGCGACTGCTGCTTGGCTGCCACTTGAAAAACGCATTAAGGCTGTAGTTCTGTGTGGCATTTGTATACCATATATAAATATATATATTATATACATAATACACTCTTGTATGGCTGCCCTATATGCATGCCAGAGTGGTTTGCTGATTGCATGTTAAAAGGCCTTCGCCTGCGACTCTTCTGCATCTGCTGCTGCTGCTGAGGCTCTTTTTGCCATGAAATTTAATTAAAAACTTGTGTGCCATGAAATTACATTTCAACGTGAGTTTCCTCTCCGAAACTGGGTGCTGCTGCCAGCTGCCACCTGCCTGCTGCCTGCGCAAAGGTAGGAAGCTCTTGCACACACTAAGAGTTGATTTTTATGTAAAAATGTTCAAAAGGTTTTCCATTGCGCAAAAGGGACCGACTTCTGTTCGGGCATCGTTCGAAGTGAAGTCGTTTGTGGCGGAAGTTCGGAGCAGAGGCGAAAAAGAAATCCCTGGCCAATTATTAAATTGATTTACCAGCCATTAAGCGGGTAAATTAAACGGGAAATATATTCTTATCGATCTGCAGTTGCTGCTCTGAATTATTCAGTATTCAGTATTCCGGATCCCGTATTCCACTTGTTAATTTTTCGCAAAAATGTTGACAGCAGAAATCAATTTATCCGTTGACATTTTATTTGCAGACCGACCGATTTCCGGCTTTCATTTGCAATGGATATAAATGGCAAGAGCCCAAAGATAAGCCAACTAAAAGCCAAGAATATTCTCACCCACCCATGTTTTTGGCCAATTATGCGAAGCTCAAATAATAATTTATTTACAACCAACTCCGCATTATGAATGCAAATCTGGCTTGGGGAGCTAGCAATCAGATTGCAACACCTTTTGTTCGGCTTCTGCCAGTGGTTGTTTCTCGCGGTATTTGTTATGCAAAAATCGCTGAGCTCGCCGCTTTGGATTTTGCATATTTCAATTAAGCATTACACATACGCCCCGTGCAACAGAAGGAGTAAAAAAATGAAAAGCAAACGGAGGTGCAGAGCAGATGTCTGGCTGGGGAACGCTCTTGAAAATCCGCTTAAAACTTATTCAATTAAAGTTCCCGCCCTGAGGCAACAAAACAGACGACAAATTCGCGTCGTAAAATGGTGAACGCAAATGGCGACCAGCGCAAACGAGCGAGCAGCAACGGAAAATGCCATAACTACGGGCAAGCCGCATAAAAATATGCACATAAAGTGTGTATAATATTGACGCAAGATCGTGGAGTGCAGCTGCAAAAAAGTTGTAAGACCAACTGAGGCAGCACACAAATGTGGCAAATAAATCAGCAGTCACTTTTAGATGTATGAGTGTTGGCGTGTGAGCGCTTGTAACCCATTTGCTGGGTTTATTTGCGTGACTTCAGAGTTCGGGGCGGAAAACATACCAAATGGGACAGCTGTCTAGTACTGAAATTCTTGGGAAAATTTTCTAATTTCAGGAAATGTAGCCATCCGAATAAGATTTTAGACAAACCCACACAATATATACCTTTTCCGGGAACTCTAAAAATAGTTAAATGCAGACCAGATATAATTGAGCTTTCTGGTAACTAAATCTATTTTTATGTTCTTATAAATGCCTGTTTGTGTTTCCAAGTAATTGAGTATAATAAAATTCCAGGAAATTTAGTTCCATTTAAGGTAAATCAATTTTAGAAATGGCTTTACTTACTGGACAAACAACATTTGTTATATGGGAATGCAAGATATTCAAATATAAGGTTTTACATTTCTATATATAGGGACTTAATATACTTTTTTATTTTATACACATATCTCTTTTTCATTTGTATTTGTTTTTATGACTACTATTCCCCTGTTGTTGGGTAACAATAATCTGCAAATCAGCATTAAAATGAATACTGTGCACCAAGCACTAGCACACTCAACTGAGCAACTTAACAAATCAAAAAAGTTTCACGAAAACAAAAATAAGGACTGACAGAGGGGCCGAAGTCAAAAGTTAGAGCAACAGGGAGCGAGTCACAGTCAAACTAAGCTAAACAGGCGAATATTTTGTCCGATTTAGTTCCATTTTATTTTCGAAAAAAGGCGTGGCCGACGGGGGCACCATCATTTTTTTCATACTTATTTTCTGTTGGCCGCAGACGCCACAACAAAGCAAAATTTTAGACGCCATGCAGGCATGTGTGAGTGTGCGTTTGTGTAAACGGGGACTCTGTCTCTGTATGCGTGCTGGGGCACTATGCCGGAAACGTGACTTATTTGAAATTTATGTACTTTTTAGCCAAACGCCTGGCAAAAAGCAAGGCTACACCCTAGTTGGGGTAAAATAAAAGGGAAAACAACAAACAGAGAGTCCGAAAAAAAGGCAAACAGCGCGATTTATAGAGCAAAGTCCACCCTTATCTGTTTCTGCTTTTTTTTTGGAACTTTTAATTATTTTTGTATTTGTAAGCTGGGGCTTGATTAGAAAAACATACAAGAATGGTTTGCAAGCGTTCATCGTGGCGTATGTGCAATATGCAAATGCATTCGCCAAAGAACAACAATTCACAAATTGAAATCAACGAGCATACAACTTGATAGGTTTTTGTTTGTTTCATTACCCCCCACCCCCCATGGTCTATGTTTTAGGTCCTGTGTGCCCTCCTTTCTGTGCTCGTTCGTTTCGTTTTTCAGCTCGTGTCACACACGACATTCACTTGTTGTTGGCTTTGTTGCTGCTGTTCGACATGCATCGATTACATATATGGAGGAAGGGAAGGCGATCCTGGCTGGCAATGGATGCGGGGTTGGGTGGCACGAGGAGCAGGAGCAGGAGCTGGAGCAGAGGTCGGACGAACAGCGACATAAGTCACGAAGCTTTTGCTAATGATGAGGGCCTTGATGCTTTTTCAATTAACCAAATGTGTGACATACGACACAGATAGCAGGCAGGTCTGTGTGTGACAGTGACAACAACTTGGCCTGGCATAAATCAAAGCAAAAGTAATCTAAGAACATCTCGAACAATAAGCAAGCCTGATTTTAGTGTTTTTCTCTTGGATTTTTTCTGCACTTTCAATTGTCCTAATTATGTGGCAACCGCTGGATGATCAACGCAAAATCAAGATTTTTCCAGAGATTGGCCTAGATGACATCCATCGCATTGAGAACGAGGCTGTGAAGGAGCTCCAGCTGAAATACACCAATGAAAAGAGGAGTCCCTCCACTCAACGGGATGCGGGTGAGCCACCCGAAACCGGAAGTGGCCAAGCGAAATGAGCCAACAGTTAACTCCTGATGAATGTGCAGCCAATAAATCCATTCATGCTACTTACATAATTATTCTTATAATCCCCTGAGCCGCATACTTACTATACAGCTAGAATCACACAACACCCCCACCCGCCCAATGCCATATACACACTCGTGAACATCCAACCCTAATTTGCATTTATGTGGGGCTGAGGCCAGTTGTGATTACCTGGCAAGCTCTTTTGTATCGTTCGTCGACGGCTCCTCCGCAAAATGGCAATAAAAGCAATTCGCAAAAAAAAATGTATATGTAGTTTGAATGCACACCGACCCTCAGATATACACCCACATCCAGATTCACACAGCCGCACAGAGGGCTACTTATAAACTCACCTTAATTAAACGTGATTAAGTAGATTTCCTCGTTTTTCTGCTCAACGAACTGTTTAGTTGTCGATGGTCTATGTGTGTGTGAGTGTTTAAGGGTGTGGGCATTTGTGACCTGTGCTTATTAGTTGCCATTTATTGTTGTTCTTGCAAGTTGCGAAGGGTATAATAACTTGCCCGTCGAGGTTGCGGTGAAATTAGCAGGAATACCATGATCAGAATATAATTTATTAATAGAAGTTTTAGTCGAATGAATTGACAAAGCGCCGAGCTGCATGCAAGAAACTCTCGAAAATAAAATATGTATGAACAGGACATCTTAACTAATCCCAAACTTTAATTTCAGAAAATGTCTTAATTTTTAAGGTATTTTTTTTTTAATGACATCCACGTTTTTTTTTTACATTATTTCGAATAAGACCTTGTAACTTCAAAGCACTTAAAAACTAAAAGGCACTAACAATAGGGAAGTTTCCTGCATAGAACAACTCATTTAACTAATTTATGGGAGAGCGGACTAAAAGTTGTTGATTTTACCGCTATTCAATAAAAGCAACAAAACCATTAAAAGAGATTAAGAAATTACTTTAGCTTAATTTACACCATTCAGTAAGTGAAAATATCCCTAGGTATTCCTTAAGTCTCGAGAATCAAATTATATTTCGTAAAACAAACATGTTTGCTACAGGAGATTAAATAATACGACTCAAGTGCATTAGAGCTTATAATATTTAGCCAGATACGTTTATGCATCAAAGCTGAGGACAATCATGTGTACAAATTATTAAAGAATTTAAAAACCCTCCAGCACACAATTTAAATTATTTTCTCTCCCTCAACTATCTATGCCGCAAAAAGGTTCAATTAAAGCAAAATCTTTACCATGTTTAATTTGCCCCAAGAACATAGCCAGAATACCCAGGAGGGTATTCAAGTTTTCGACTCAACCCAAATTAGCATTCAATTTCCATGCTTTTGCCTCGCATTGTTGGATGCTTGGGCTGAGTTCGCTTGGCTCACGTTGTTGTAATTTAGTTTCATTTGTGCACGAAAATGAATTTGTATTATTGTTTGCATTAATTTGCCTTATTAATTACGTTTATGCTTCTGACTATTATGTTTTTTTTGCTCTGGCTGTGGCTCTGGGCTCTCAATGGTTTTTGCTCCACCTCCCGTTTTTTTTTCCCAGGGGGTAATTCGAGCATTGGCTGTGCGGGCAATCAAATAAATAATGAGACGGCGACTGCGGCTGCCGCTGTCTGAGTTCTGAGTTCTCAGTCCGGAGACTGTCGTCCGGAGTCGGGAGTCTGGAGAGCTCGGTCCGGAGTTCTCGGTTTGCTGGCCACTGCCGGCGTCTCTGGCGGCGTCGCTGTCGTCAACTTTGTTTAATATGCGCAAAACGTCGCAGAACTTTTGCAGCTACTTGTCGTCAACATCGTTGCCAGCGTCCCCTCCAATCTTGCCATTTTCCCCCGTGGTTGTTGTGATTGTCTATGGCAACTAGCTTTTATTATTTGTTGCCGCTCTCGTCTGTATTGCTATAATTGCCTTTTTGCCTTTGTGTAGCCCAACGTCAAGTGTCTGTGTATCAGTGTGTGTCTATCGCAACATTTTCAGTTGTCCTGTTTATGAAATTTTGACTTCGGCTTGCCTCCTTGTTGAGAAGGCGGTGAATCAGGCTCGATGACAGCTTTCAATTTGCTTGGGCCGGGGGGAAAATGCAATTTTCAATTTTCAGTTTTCAATTTTCCACTGCTGCCTGCCACGTTCATTGCAATTTGGCCCCGAGTTTGATTCAATTGATTGGCGATAGTTGTGGCTTTCAGCTTGACAGAGCGACGTGCATGTGGCATATGCGCTTCGCATTGCTCATACGCCTCGTGCACGTTGAGTGGTAAAAGTTCGCCAGGGAACAGGAATTCCCAGAACTTGGCTGACTTTTGAACTTTCCCAAGCCAGTCGCACATGTACACTCTGAATGACGGGAAAGAAACAACTTAAATGTCAACCCGATGAAGCTCAAGCACTCCGCCATAAAACTCGCATTTCACGGCACAAAAGCACCCAGCTCAAGCAACGCACTAGGCCACGCTGATTTGTACACAGCCCGGCATAGAAAAAACAACACAACGGCTCAGAACAACAAACAACTCAGCACTACCCAGCGCAAAAACAAAAAAAAGAAAACAGAAAAAGCAACGACAGGAGTGAAGAACAACGAGGAATCTGCTTCCGTGTTGATTGTTTCGTTTTGCCCGGCTTTGGTTGAGCAAGAAGAACTGCAAAAGACGACAGGACGACGCCCATAAAAAACGACTATGTCTGCGGGAATCGCTTTAAAAACAAGTGAACCGAGCACGGCGGCGAGCAGGAAAAGCGGGAAAACGGGAAAACCTGTCCATCAGCAGAACTATTGCAACAATAAGCAAGAGCAATTTGACAATTGAAGTGCTTCTTCGTAGCAAGGAGCACGAGAAGGAGCCTCCGAATAAAAAGAAAGGAGACTTCTGGCCAAAGTAGCCTCATCGCTTGCCAGGGAGCACTTGAGCACAGTTTCCGGTCATTTACACGTACACACACATACACACCCTGAAACACAAGCACAGTCACACATTCACACACAATCAGTGTGTGTGTGTGACACAGTATCCTACATTTTTATTGGCATCCTTTGGCCTGCAAGTGTGTATGTGTGTGTGTGTGCGAGAGTTTATCAAACGCGTTGCATTAGCAGTTTGCCCGTAATTGCCGAGGAATCCCAAATGGAATTTTACCAATCCGGAACAAGGTCAGGCTGGTGTGGTAATTGAATTTTTCGCAGCTTTGTTTACACATTGTGTCAATTTAAAGCAATTACTTGAGCTGTTTTCTATCCCCCGGGCCAAGTAGCGTGGCCCACAAAAGTGGGCTATGAAAAATCACCAAAGACAATGGGACCGAACTTTCATAACTTTTTTGTGTATGTTTTTTCCTACTACTTTTTACTGCGAGGCAGTGGGTGGAAAGGCAAGAGGAAAGTGAAGGGGGAAGGGGGAAGGACAAGGGGTCCTGTGTTGGATGGATGAACGGATGGGAATTTCTGTGCATGGCACAGACTCCACGTGAGAAGCATCACTAATCTGGCTCTCTCCGTTCTCTCTCCGCTCTCTCGCTGCACGCTTATCTCGAGAGAAGAGCCTCTCTCTCTCGCTTTCTCTTTATTTGTCTCTGGGAAAATCTGTGCGCAGCTGCTGGCGCTGCCTCCTGCAGGATCAGGGTGTGGTGAGTTATGCTGCCGCTGTGAAAAAAGAAAAATGTCCTGGCCCTACCTTCTGCTGGCGTCGCTGCTGCTGCGCGGCTTCTGCGCTGCTTCTGCTGACTTCGTTTACAAATTTTCCTGCTTGCCTGCGCGCTTTTTCACTGAACTTCTGCTGCGGCTGCTGCGGATGCTTCTTTTTCTGCTGCTGCTGCTGATATGTGACACGCACTCACACTGGCACAGTTACAAAACACTCGCACACACACACACTCGCGCTCTCTCTCTCTCTCTCTCTCACACGCACACACACGGGGACACGGACACACAGGCGCTTGTTGTTGTTGCTGCTGCTGCTGTTTGTCTTGCTCTATTTGCCAGTGGTAGTATTAGTTGTTGTCGCAATTATTTTCACATTTTTCATATCATTTATCTAGTTGCTGCTGGCATCGCTGCTGTTTTTTTCTTTTTTTTATGGCTGGCTATCACCTCACTATCTCGCTCGCCCACTTCTATCTATCCTGCTCTCTCAAGCGCTCTGTGTGTGTCAGATGTTTTTTTGTATTTTTTTTTTTTGTTGTATTTGGCTAAATAGACTAGTGCACGTTTCCGCTTTTGTCAACCGAACACGTCAACTGTCTGCACCTGACTGTCTGCACTGACGGAATCCGCAGTTCTCAAGTTCCCAAGTTCTCAGTTCTCTGTTCTCAGTTCTCAATTCGCAGTTCAGTCCGCTGTTCCCAAAGGCGTCGCTGCGCGAGAGACAAAAGAGCGCCATGTGGATGCTGTTCATCTCTGCTCTTGGCTCTTATGTCTCTCGACGACGGCCTTTGTTTTGATTTATTTTTGTGGTAGGTTCTTGCCGAGATTCGCAAAGAGCGGTTGCGGATGCTAAGAGCACGGACCACAGCCTCAATCGTGGGCGCCCAACTAAAAATAATACTTGTAGCTTAACCTTTTCCACCCAGAACAGAAGTTCGCCTTCCCCAAAAAAACCCCAACGGCCCCCTCTCAGCAATCAGCATTCAAAATCCAACTCGCAAAAGTATTCGAAGCGCAAAAATTTGCGCTGCTGAGGCAAACAAAATACCAGCCCCAAGAATAAATATCATAAAAATATGAAAAATAAATAAATAAATGAGCAGGGGGGGGATGGGTTGGAATAAATATAAATATTTGGACAGCTACAGTTACGCCCCGGCTTAACAAAAGGGCTGCTGCCCAATCGGGTTTACAATAAGCGATGATGGCAGGAGAGGGCTCTGTTGATTTTTTTAAGCGGCCTCTGCTGCTCTTTATGCAAACTGCCGCCGCTCCACTTTCACCTTTGCCCTCGCAGCACCACCCACCACCCACCGCGCACGTCTTGCCCTTGTGTTGTTGTTGCTGCTGTTTGCGGGTCGGGCGTCTCATGAATATGTAAATTGTTATTATTGCATATTGTTAGGCGCCAGCAGCAGCCGCGGAGCAGGATAACAGTGACAGCAAGGACTCTTTCGTACTTTCTTAAACGCAGCTCAGGTAGACGACGAAGCGGAGAAGGCAGAGCGACGAGCTTCCGCCGGAAATAGTAATTCCCATAGATTTGACAAATGTCGCTCAGCGAATTAAATGATGAATACCAAATTTCTTAATGCTACTTTCGCTTAAGCTCTCTGCACTGCTAAAAAGAAAAACAAAACAGCTTGCCATTGCTTATGAAAACTTGATTTAAATAAAAACTTTAAGAACATACAAATTGTACTAGTTTCTTAAATAGTCCTTTAAATCTGAAGAAATGAATCTGTGGCTATAATTTGCCTATAATATTACATATTATTTATTCTATCAAATTATTAGCCCCATTTATTTTTATGGTCCTTGTGCGTAACATCATAAACTTTAATTTCCCGAAGGTATATAGAACAAATAGATGAGAAGGTACTGAAAAATGAGCACAGACCTTAAAACCATTAAATTAAATTGTATTACTTTATTTAATTCATGTTAAACTTTGCCTTTTAAAAAAGGATTTAGATGGCAAAATGAAAAACAGCTATTTCAAAGCCCAAAAATAAGTCTGAGGCGAGTTAAATTCCTGGTGGATCGGGCGCCTTTAAGCCAGAGCAAATCATTGTCAATGGCGACGGCAACACCTAGGCAACAAAGTAATGGCTGTCAAACGAACACACTCTTAGTGAAAAGGACACAGACACACACGCATGTACTTGAGGAGCCTTGACAACCTGAACAAACCAAGGAACAAGACATTTGCCGCGGCGACTTTGATTGGCAGTCTTCTCAGTAAAATGAGGATGTTCTTTGGCTAGAATGAGGGGCAGAAGTCTAAATCATCCTGGCTGAGGGTGCGAGTGTGTGCGGATGTGTATGGGTGGCTGCGACGCGCTGTCGTCACCGTCATCATCGTCATCGTCATCTATAATAACATCAAACAGCGCACTGCCCAGACACCAGAGGCCCACCAGATTCCAGTTCGCCAGCTTTCAGATCTCTCAGTTGTACGTACCGCTCCTCCATTTGCCACGCCCCCCGTCCTCCGTCACCTTAGGACAATTCCGGCCACCAGCCTCCCCGCTTGTTATCACGCGCAATAAAAAGCTTGCCTGCATTTCGTTTTTTTCCCATCTTTAATACTCTGCGAAAAGGGTATGGAGCGTTTGTCGAGATTCTCCAGGGGAAACATGGTACAGACTTGCAGATTTCCGCTTATATTTGCTCTGGGTTCTGGGAATTTTTTTAAAGACAACAACAAGCAGCAGGACTTAAAGTGGCACAGAGGGTTCTGTTAATGATTTACACTCGGTTTTAAGCATTTTCTTTTAAGTTTACTTTAAGCTTGTACACATTTTAAACGATTAAATTGAGAATGTGTTGATTATTTTTAACAATTTTAAGGCTTAAATATTATTTGTTTTACAAATTTGTACAATCCATTAAACTTCATTAACAATATTGTGCGCCTTGAGATTTGATTATTTCTTATATGACAGGGTCATATCACTAGTTCCAAAAAAATATTTATTTTTTTCTGTGATGAGAGTTAATTTTCACCATCAAGATCATATTATACAAAGGATTTATAGCTATTTGTCCTGATTTCTTTTCCGAAATCGGTTATCATCCTTTTTAAAATCCCCCCAGAGCATCAAAGCTTCGTCATCCCCCATCGATGCTTTACTTTTTCTACCGATGCTTACTTGATTTTTCCTTCCTTGCGATTTTCAAACATTTACTTTCGCTTTTTGCAAAGGAAAACATAGACAAACACACACGCGCACACACACACACACACACAGTCAGAGGAAAAAGGCACGTATTCAAATTGTGGGTGGCAATTGGAGTCCTCTCCCTCTCGCGTTTTTCACCCCGCTGGTCATGGGATAAAAGCAACAACAACGTGGAAAAATACGCCCCGTGTTCGCAGGCGAAAATTGTTGTTGGTGGGTGTGGCAGGCTGTTACGTCGACTGCGGCAGCGGCTGCGACAGCGACAGCGACATCGAAAGCGGCGTTGCCTGAATGCGCGTTTAGTTTCAAGTGTTATTTTTGTACTAGAAGCAGCTGCCGAAGAGATTGAGGGGGTGGTTGGCGGTGGGTCGGATGGGCGGTTGGGCGGTTGGGCGGTTGGGCGGTTGGGCGGGTCGAAGGACTCGTTCTGCGTCTTCCTCGTTGCCGGGCTGCCTTTCTTCTCCTCCTCTTCCATTATTATCGTCGCCTATTTCGGCTGAAGTGCGTAATTGATGTGAAAAGTGGCAACAAACTGTTTTTTATTTGCGCTTGCTTTCAATTTGTTTAAATTGCTGGGCGCTGTCTTTCCACTTGCCACACTCACACATATACACACACTCATCGACACACCCACACACACACACATTTAAACGCTGATTGAAGTTTTATTGAATTTTAAATTGCGCTGGCCTTGGTTTGAGTTCGCTTTCCGTCTGCTGCTTATTTTCACTTTCCACTTTGTACTTGTGCTTATTTGCTGCCAACTCCCTATGTACACAGGAAAATTCGGATAATACGTCCCTGAAACGAAAATCTAATAGAAAGCTGTCTATTTGACTAATGAATGATATGGAAAATGTTTAGGGCTACAAATTTAACGATTTGGTTGCCAATGGAGCAGCTTTAAATAATATACAGACACATTTCATATATCTTTTGAAAAATCGTTCTATAATTTGTATTTAAAACATTTTATTGCCCTACAAAAATTAAACTTAAATGCTTTTACTTTATGAAAAAACATAAGTTCTTATAAACAATTTAGAAAATCTTTACTAATTTGCAAAATTTAGAAAAACATGTTTAGAATAATGCCTGGTTAATAGCATTGTTAAAAAAATGATGTATTGGTATTTAAATTTTCTCTCAGTGCCCTCGCACATTTTTCCTTTCACTTACCGTCTTCATCTCGCTCTTGCTGCCTGAGTGTTTTATTGTTGACACAAATAATGTCACTCGAAATGTCAAAAAGAGGCCGCTGGAATTTTTTACCATTCTTACTGGTGTTTTTGTATTTTCTTTTTCCAGCCAGTTGCCAAGTGCTGAGGTTTGACATACATTTAAGTGAGTTGTCAGGTGCGTGTTTTTATAGGCAATAGAAATATAAACGGCGAATATAAATACCAACTCCCAATTGACGGCGCCAATCGTGCGCTGTTAGCCACTAATTTTCCGGCAATTTTCCCGGCTGGGAACAATTTAGCGAAACTCCCCAAACTAATTGTAATCAGCTGCCTCTGCGCCACGCCCCCTCCGCCGGGAGTTCGGAGCGTCAATTACTTAGCCTTCATTGAGAGAAGCAGCTGCCGCAAGTCAAATAAAACATATTACAAATGACTCTGCCAGCCCCGATCTCCCCTGTTCACACGGTTCCCGGCATTACTCAGCCTTAAGAGCTCGTCCGACGCTGTGGCAGCAATCTGACAAATTTCGCACAAATTATGCGTTGGCCACAAAAATGATGACGACAACGATGGCACGGATGGCACGGATGGCACGAATGGGCGGTGGGGATGCCCGGCGACAGGGCTTCTGATTCCAATC